AAGGGTCAAATTTTCCATATTCGGATATCTAGCCCCGTACTCTTTGTAGGGCTTTAGTTAAGGATGCCAATTTGATTCATCGACTCATATGGCCTGCTGCTCGGCCAGAAAAAAGGTCAAGCCAACTCATCTCGAGTCGAGCCTTATTTTTCGTGCTCCGGCCTATGACATGCCCTAAAAATGGCTAGCGTTACAGGCCTGAAACAAGCAGCTACAAGCACCGAACCATATATATATATATATGAAAAAAAGCTAGCTCAACTCGTCCCGGCTCGACTCAGCAAAGCCCGAACCAAGCCACAATTTTTTGATCGAGATTTAACTTGGATCAGTTCGACTCGGGCAAAAAATGTTTGAGCCATTTTTTGCTTAGGTTCAAACTTCAACTCGTAAGTTGGCTAGGTCCAACATGTTTACATCCTTAGCTTTACTTACATAGTAGACTAGTAATTATTGTTACTTTTCTTCTTTTACTAGCAAAGAGCTAACTGTCACACTAGAAATTGCTAAATATAGCAGTAACTTTTCTCCGTTTTAGGGTATATCTAGTAGGGTGCTTTCCCTAGATGATCTTTTAGAGCTTGGAATATGTTCGCATTTGAAACTCCATTCAAGTTCTTTTAATCTTTTCAGCATTTGGAAGAAACGAGAACATTTGTTTGTTGCTTGTGATAGAAACCACTTAGAAGATAACCTTTCCATTAGTCTTTGAACCTCTTTTGTTTTAAATGGGGATTGCATTTTCACGAGGGCCTAAATTTTGTCAAGTTTCACTTCGATACCTTACTGATTAACCATATAATTGAGGAACTGTTTGGATTTATGTCGAAAGCACAATTTAGGGGATTGAGCTTTATGCTATATTTTGTAATATCTTGAAAGCCTTTTCTAACCATATTAATGTTGAGACCGATTGACCAATAATGCAGGAATTGAGATTTAATGAATACAACTTGTTATAATTGAAGTATTGAACAAGATCATGAAAAGCCACGAACAAGATTAAAGTAAAAAAATAAAAGAACTAGCAGAAGAATAATGTTATTTTATTCAATCAATGAAAGGCGAAAATTACAGCAATAATGGCTTAAACAATACTGAAAGAGGAGCCCTATATTTATAGTATAAAATCTAGTCCTAAAAGAGTCCCAAAAAAAGGTAAGAAATCTAATACAATTTAGACTCCTATTTGAGTCACACTTCTAACAATCTCCACCTTGATTTAAATTCCGGTGCAACGAACGAAACTCCAAAATTTCTCCGCTTTGAGAAATAATCCGTCTGCATCAGAATGAACTGACCAATCTCCTCAACGCAATAACCAAACTCTCCACGATAACATGTTCCCTCGCCCGACGTCCACAAGCAACACCCGAACCCAAACCCGGGTTCCCAAAATTTCTCTTCGAATTAACAATCACTGGATAGGGTCGAAGCACACCCTGTAGCAAAAACCACACCAAATGCACAATCAGAAGGTCTCTTGCCAATATTGTCACCTTCAATGATTTCGAAAGCATTACAGACATCTCCAAAACTGTACCTACGCTCCATGGGTCCATTAGCATTACAAGAACACAGTTTACTCACTAAAATTGGTGGCAAAGCGGAATCACCAACACTCCCTTGAGCAAAGTTCTTAACTGACCCAGAGCCAAACCCGAGAGATACTGTACCAAATTGAATGTCCACCATGGTACTGAACTTGTCCAAATGTCTCTGAACTGGTTCTGCACTCTCCTGCAAGATGTACAACTGGGATTTCCTCCATCCCTCCAGTACAACCCGGACACCCCTTCGAACCTTCAAGACTCCACCTCCACCAGAGAATTTATACCCTTTTTCATCCAAGGTACTAAGTGATATGAGATTCTTTGTCAAGTCTGGAACATGGCGAACCTGATCAAGTGTCCTCACTTTCCATCCTGTAGCTTCAATCTGACCCGACCGATTCCTGCAACCCGATAATATTGGTTGTTTCCCATGACAACTCCACCTTCCTTCACCATCTCATATGTTTGAAACAAAAGCCCTATTGGGACTCATATGATACGAACAAGCAGAATCCAGAATCCACTCCTCAGGTTTGGATTCCCTGTCAGATACAGCTAACATCACATCTCCATCATTACAAAAAATTTCAGCAATATTAGTCTCGTTCGAATTACCTGATTGCCCTACATAATTTGCATGTAAATCACCTTTACCTTGAAACTTGTCGCAATTTTTCTTGATGTGTCCTTTCCTCTTACAGTAATAACAATACACATTACTGTACTTCACCTTCGAGTTACCCCTCCATCGATCACCATGAGTAATAAGAGCATCCCCACTCCTAAATGCAGGATCTCCAACCAACAACTCCATCTTCTCTCTTGAGATCAGGGCGTCGTATACCTCCTCAATGGATAACGTGTCATGACTATACAGAATAGTATCACGAAATGATGAAAAAGAATTGGGTAGCGAACACAACAGGACCAAGGCTAGATCTTCTTCATCATATTTTACCTCCACCGTCTTCAAATCTACAACGATCTCCTTGAACACAGCAAGGTGGTCCTGCAGTGACCCTCCTTCCGCCATGCGATAAGAATACAACATCTGCTTTAGGGTCAATTTGCTCGTCAAACTCTTTGTCATGCACAACTGCTCCAACTTGAGCCACAAAGTAGCCGCTGTCTTCTCCTTCAAAACATATTGCAACAAATTGTTGGATGAATGAAGTTGGATTTGCGCTAAAGCCTTCCGATCCTTCCATTGTTTCTCCTCCATAGAAAAGCTTGCTGGCATCCTATCAAAACCCAACAAAGCACATCAAGATCCATCTGCGTCAACACACCTCTCACTTTTACTTGCCACAACGAAAATCTTGTATTGCGATCCAATAGCGGAACTTCATATTTCAACGAATTGATCTCTAAAAATCTCAATCAAATAACAAAGAACTTACAACCTGCAACACCCAAAACTGAAAACTACCGAACGTGCAAGGGGCAAAATAGTCCAGGACCACAATTTTGCCCAAAACTGAAATTGGACACCACCACAAGGTCCGTCTCGTCGTATGGAAAAATCTTCCGAAAGACACTGTCGCCAGAAACCACCGCACGTGCCGCTACTCTCCTCACCGAAGTTCCACCGTCGGCGACTGGCCGGAAACGCGTCGACGACCTGTAATCCTTTCTGGACCGTTTCTATCTGCTGAGTCCACTGGTGGTGTTCATTTCTCCAAAATCTTTTTGGTTTGACAAGAAAACACAAAACCAAATCCGACAGAAAATCGAAAAATTGGATAGATTCATTTTCTGATTTTCTGGTAATTTTCAGACGATTTTCCGATCAGTTTCAGGCCAAAAATCCATCAATAACCCCGCTCTAATATCACTTGTTGGGATCGATTGACCAATAATGCAGAAATTGAGATTTAATGAATACAACTTGTTGTAATTGAAGTGTTGAACAAGATCACGAAAAGCCACGAACATGATTAAAGTAAAGAAACAAAAGAACTGGCAGAGGAATGATGTTATTTTATTCAATCAATGAAATAAGAAAATTACAGTAATAATGGCTTAAACAATACTGAAAGAGGATCCCTGTATTTATAGTATAAAATGTAGCCCTAAAAGAGTCCCAAAAAAAGGTAAGAAATTTAATGCAATTTAGACTCCTATTTGAGTCACACTTCTAACACTTAAGTGGTCCTCATCTTGAAGGCTTTTCGCTAGCATATCAACAATTTATACTTTCATCCTTTTTCCTATCTGATCTGTGAATATTTTGTTCGCTAGCCTTTAGTATGTGGCCCCCCATTTTTAGCCGTAATGACATTACCTTATAATAATCTAGTTCCCAATCTGTCACAAATGTAATATGTTTCTCGTCAGTCCCGTATATTGGGATTTTGTTAGGAAATATGTAATTGGCAAATCTGTGACCAAGGACCAAAATGTAATAATTGTAAAGTCAAGGATTAAAATGTCATAATTGTAAGGTCAAGGACCAAAGTGTCAAATGTCCAATAGTTCAAGGACTTGAGTTGCAATTAATCAAAGTGTTGGAGGCTAGGTCTAGGGTTGTGATGGATGCCTCGAAGTTGCAAACGGCGCGAGATTTTGCTAGAGTCACGCCATGATATCGCTCGAGCCAAGATTGCAGAACCACTGTCGCTAGAGCCTCGCCAGCAGGTCGCTCGAGCGAAGTGGACGTCGCTCGAGTCACGCTGGTCCCTCGCTCGAGCGACCTATTTATCTGGGCAACATTAAATTTAAAAGCTCGCGAATTTTTGACACGCCACAAGACCATATGTTGAGCCATATAAATACCATTCGTCTCCTTCGAGTTGAACATAGAGGAAATACACATTGAAGCCATATTATTGATTCTCTCTAAAATCCTTGGAGATCAAAATCCTCGAAAAGCTTTTGTTGAAAAACTTTTCTTTAATCTTTCATATTCCTTGGAGATTAATCCTTTATATCTTTCACACCAAGGTTCAAAAAGCCAAACAATCTTCTAAACTTTTCAGATTAAAAATCCTTGGCACGGGAAGTAGAAGTCACACAAGGCTGGGATGGTAGCACAGATCTGCTAGATCCAGGAGAGTCTTGTTCTCAAACAGTAAGGAGGTCAGAAAATTGAGGGGATCCATTGTTCTGACGTACTGTAAGTTACCTTCTACAAATAGTGGATCTCTACTGACTTGTGCCCGGAGTTTTTACCCAGTTGGGGTTTCTCCGTCAACATTCGTTGTGTTTTTTTATTACTTTAATTTATTTATTGTTACTGGTAATTCAACATAGGTAATTAAGACATGTGAATGAATCTGGACAAACTTTAATTCTTGTGACTTGTTGTACGAATTAATTGATAAGTTTTTTTTTTTAATTCCGCATGAACACCTATTCACCCCCCTTCTAGGTGTTAGTTGGGTCGAACGTTAGGTTTTTCAAGTGGTATCAAAGCGAAATCTCGAATCCTGACCCATAGCTGTCTAGATGAGTCAATCACTGTCTGTACCTCCATTTTTCGACGGAAGTAATTATGCGTATTGGAAAGTTAGAATGCGTGCATTCCTCAAATCATTAGATGAGCATGTGTGTATTAGTGTTCAAAATGGTTGGAAACCTCCCTCTAGTATCGTATCAGGAAACATTCATCTCACTGACAGTATCATTGTGGACTAAAGATGATTAGCTGCATGTAACTGGAATAGTAAGGGAATTCATGCATTATTCACGGCACTATCACCAGAAGAGTTTAGGCGAGTCTCTATGTGCGAAACTGCTAAAGAGGTTTGGGACATTCTCGAAACAACACATGAGGGAACTAAAATAGTAAAAAACTCAAAACTGCAAATGCTAGCTTCTAGGTTTGAAGAAGTGAGAATGAAAGATGATGAAACATTTGATGAGTTTTACGCTAAGCTAAATGACATAGTTAACTCGAGTTTCAACCTAGGTGAGAGAATTCCCGAGACCAAGATAGTGAGAAAGGTACTTAGATCCCTACCTGAGAGATTTAGGCCTAAAGTCACTGCTATTGAGGAAAGTAAGGACCTAGATGAAGTTAAGATCGAAGAATTGGTAGGATCCTTGCAAACCTATGAACTTACTCTCTCACAACACAAGAAAGGAAAATCCATAGCCCTAAAATCCAATAAAGAAGGTGAATTGTCTGACACTGAGTCACTTAGGGATGAGGAAATCGCATACTTTGTCAAGAAATTCCAAAAAGTCCTCAACAATAGGAGAAAGCCTCAGGATAGAAAGAATGGAGCCCCTAGCAGATTCACAAAAGATAAAATTGAGAAAGATAACAATAAGGGGTCTAGTGAGAAGCCACGTTTGGTTAGATGCCATGAGTGTCAAGGAATAGGTCACTATAGGAATGAATGTCCGAGCTATAAGAAATTTCAAAGAAAAGGGAAAGGCAAGGCCTTAGTTGTCTCACTTACCGATAATGAATCTGAGACCAGTGATAGGCAGGAATCCTCCAGTAGTGATGATGAAGGAAATTATATGGCATTTGTGGCTACTGTTAAGAGTGAGTCTGATAAGGAAAGTGATAAGGTTGAGGAAGAGCAATCAAATGATAATTCTGTTAATGAGAATGAGGATGAGGATGACATAGACCTACAAGAAGCATATCAACAACTGTTTAAAGAAAGTCTTAAAATAAAGAAGGTCAATAAATCCCTACTTAAAAAGCTTGACGAACTTGAAAGGGAAAAAGAGAAACTGGGTGGTAAGCTTCAGGAGTCACTTAAGAGCGATAGTGAGTTGAAGTGTGTCAATGAGAAATTGGAAGACAAGGTTAAGAGTTTGACTAGTGAATTGGAAAAATCTAATGTCCATCTTCAGACATTCATTAGTGGAAACAAGAAATTAGATAACCTATTGGGAATGAATAAGCCAGTGGGAGACAAGAGAGGTCTAGGATATGTTGAGGGTAATACAACTATTGCTGGACCATCTAAGACTGTCTTCGTGGCTGCCTCTAAGCCTAATACGGTTAGGAGTCCAAGTAAGGGTAAGAGCATTCCTAGGGAACAAAGTCATCAATCACGTAGGAACATTAGGACCAGGTACCCTCAGACACGTACTTTTGAGCCTAGGTTTATTCCCACCTGCCACCACTGTGTTGCTCTAGGACACACTAGGCCTAGATGTTACAAGTTAGGCAATGAGCGGAGAAGTCAAAACATTCCTAGTCAGGTTAGCTTTCTGTCTAATCAGGTTAGTCATCTGACTGAGATGCTTACTAAGCTAACTAAGAGTAACTTGTCGCCTAAAAGGATTTGGGTCAAAAAGGGTGATTTAGATAGACTATCAGGTCAAGAGAAATGCCTTGTTGCTAATGTTGCATTAAAAGCTCAAAATTCTAATATGTGGTACCTGGATAGTGCATGTTCTAGGCATATGTGTGGTAATAAATCTTTGTTTACTACTCTTGATGAATGTAATGGTGGTATGGTTACTTTTGGAGATGGGGGCTCCGCACCTATTCTCGACAAAGGTACCGTACAAATGCTTGGTTTGCCTGTGATTTCTAATGTGCTATATGTGGAAGGTTTAAAATCAAATTTGCTAAGCATCAGTCAAATCTGTGATGATGATTTTGAGGTTAGTTTTGTGCAGAAGAGATGTACCGTATATGATTCATCCGGTGGGGTAGTCCTTGAAGGGGTTAGAACATCCGACAATTGTTATGGGGTACTACCTAATTCTAACTATGTGTGTAGGAGCGCTAAAATTGATGTAAGTGAGCTCTGGCATAAAAGATTAGGTCATTTGAATTACAAGAGTCTTGAACAATTGTCTAAGAAAGAATTGGTAGATGGCCTGCCTAAGTTAGGACCTAGCAAAAATGCTGTGTGTGGACCATGTCAACTAGGTAAACAACTTAAGGGGAGCCATAAGAAGACCACTAAAATTCTGACCAAAAGACCACTGGAATTGATTCACATGGATTTAATGGGACCCTCTAGGACCGAGAGTTTAGGTGGTAAGCGCTACATCCTTGTCGTTGTAGATGACTTTTCGAGGTTTACTTGGATAGAGTTGCTTAGGGAAAAATCTGATGCTTGTGACCTTATTAA